TTATAGGTTTAAAGGGGAATAAAGAGAAAACCGATAGAACCGGCAAGGGACCCTCGCCCCCTTCCTGCTCCCTTCCAAACTCCCTTACGAAACTCCCTGTTAGCAGCCCCTGTTCGCAAAAAAAAATATATAAAATAGGCCCATCAATGGCTATTAGCCAAGATGATCAGGGACAACCGTATACTCTGGGTGTCTCTTGTCTCTGATTGCCAGAAGCTGGGAGCGAACAACAGGGAATGGACCCTGGGCATGTGGGTGAGACCCACCAGCCAGACAGCTGGGAAAGAATTCTCTGCAGTGTCCCATCACCGGCCGCTGGGGGTATTTGCTGCTAGCGGTCGCAGATCGGCTCCATGCCATCGTCGGCAGCCCCGTCACACCATCCCCTCCATAAACTGATCACACTCAGGCTGGAAGCCAGTTCGGGGTTTTGCCCCCACTGCTCCCCTTGGGCGGCTGCTCCAGAACTTCACTCCTCTGGTGGTGAGAAACCTTCGTCTAAATTCAAGTCTAAACCTGTTGATGGCCAGTTTCTAGCCACGTGTTCTTGTGTCCACATGGGCGCTTCGCTTCAATAACTCCTCTCCCAGCCTGGTGTTTATCCCTGGGCTGGATTTAGAGAGAGCGATCGATCTCCCCTCGGCCTGCGTCTGGTCAGGCTAAACAAGCCGAGTTCGTTGAGTCTCCTCTCGTAAGGCAGGTTCTCCGTTCCTCCGATCAGCCTCGTTGCCCTTCTCTGCACCTCTTCCAGTCTGAGTTCATCTTTCTTACCCGCGGCAGAGCAGCCCTGCTCGCGTGTTCCAGCCGAGGGCTCACCAGTGCCTGGTATAATGATACTAGCACGTCCCCATCTCTGCGGGAAATCCCACGCCTGACGCACCCTAGGACTGCGTTAGCCTTTATCACGGCCGCATCACACTGGTGGCTCATAGTCCCCCCAAGATGGACCCATACACCCAGGTCTCTCCTCCTCCATTGCTTCCAGCGGAGACGTCCCCAGCTTAGAGCAGGGATTGTGGTTAGTCCCAAGTGTGTGACCTGGCACCTTGGCTGGGTCTCTCTGCTCTCCACCCTCGGACTGGGCCTGCTTGGCACTGGGCTGGGGGAGCAGGTGGTGTTGGAGATGAGTGTGCCCTGGGGCAGTTACCTGCCCGTGCCCAGCGTGGTGCTGTGAGCACGGCTGACAGGAGGAGTGACCTGGTGTACATGTGGGCCCTGCCCTAGGCTCTCTCACACTCACTGGGGGCTGGTTCTCCTCCACTTCCTGCCCCGTGGTCTGTGCCACCGTTAAACGGACGCTGTCGCTCACTCGCCATGCCAGCAGTTGGGAAGGCTGCAGAGGGCGAGGAGGGGGAACAGGGCAGTGTGACTTACCTCTGCCTTCTGTTGTGCAGCTGGCCGCAGGCGGGATGGCAGCACTGTGGAGGTCGTACCAGCGGCTCATGGCCCAGCACCCCTGGAAAGTGCAGATCCTCACAGCTGGTAAGAGCCTCTGGCCATTCCTTGGGGTGTCTCTGCCCGGGGGTTCACTTTCTTGGAGGCTGAGCATGGGGCAGGCCCCCGGCCCGGGAACTGCAGGGTGGAGTGAGGCAAAGGTGCATGGAGTGAACTGGGTCTCACGCTCTGGAACTGCCCGCGCTTGGGTCTGTGGACAGAGAATGCTGCGCCTCGGGGCTGGGGAGGTGGGCAGCTAGCCGTAGCCAGGGGCACGGGCAGGCAAGAGGCCTACCTAGGCAGGGCTGGCCCAGCTCCTCCCCTTGATGCCCTGGTATTACACACACGCACGCCTCCAGGACCTGGCTGAACATGCAGAGTTGCTGTTTCCGGGCCTAGAGCAAAGCTGGTGGATGGCCAGGAGCAGCCATTTGGGACCTCCCCTCTCCAGCAAGCGAGCCAGTGCCTTCCCCCCCCCCCCCTCCTATTTGGGGCTGCTAGGGAAGGTGCTAATTCCAGATCTGACACATGAGCCAGCCCCGGGAGGGGCTGCAGAGGTGCATGGCTCACACACACGTCGCTGTGGGTGCGGACGTGGGGCTGGGGCGTTGGCAGTGCTGGGCCGGAGGCCGCACTGGGGCGTAGGTTGGAGCCCCACTCTTGTTGGAGCGCTGGGTGTGCCGTGCCTGGCCGAGCTCTGGGGTGGGGATGTGTGTGTGTGGGGGGGGTGTGGACGTGGGGCTGGGGCGCTGGCAGTGCCGGGCCGGAGGCCGCGCTGGGATGTGGGTTGGAGCCCTGCCCTTGTTGGAGCGCTGGGTGTGCCGTGCCTGGCCGAGCTCTGGGGTGGGGATGTGTGTGTGTGTGTGTCTGGGGGGGGTGTTGGCTGTGGGTGTGGACGTGGGGCTGGGGTGCTGACAGTGCCGGGCCGGAGGCCGCGCTGGGATGTGGGTTGGAGCCCTGCCCTTGTTGGAGCGCTGGGTGTGCCGTGCCTGGCCGAGCTCTGGGATAGGGAGGTTGCACGCGAGAGGTGCCCCCAGCTGCATGTGCCGGGGCTGCCGGCCCGTCAGTGAGTCGGGCAGGGAGTCACCTTCTGGTGGGTGCTTGGCTCTGGTACGAGCCCCGATGCCCTGTCGGAGTCGCATTCCCCCTCCCCTGCTTGAGTGGTGGGTGCGGGGTGCTGAGGTGGGCAGCAGCTTTGGCCAGTCGAAGCTGTTCCCCCCCCGCCAGCCCCGCACCCCACTGTTCCTCCCCCAGGCGCCCCAGGCCAGGCCTGAGCTGTCAGCTGCAGCCAGGAGAGGGCAGCACACACTCAGGTTTAGGTGCCGTCCGGGGCTGAACTCGCGTCTAAGGGGGTCTCTGGCGTCTAAGGGGGTCTCTGCTTCCGTCTGGGACAGAACAGTCGCTGCCTGGCTCTCCCCCGCCCCTCCGCTGGGCTGAGGCTGCAGCTGTCTCCAGGGTCACTCCTGTCCTGCAGCTCCCCAGGAGTGCGCGCAGGGCTGTCTCGGACTCGGCCCAGGGCTGGCTGGCTGGACAGTTCTGAGCTAGGGCCAAGACAGCCTGGCTAGGCAGGGCACGGTCCCGCCCGGAGATCTGCCAGGCTGGTCCCTGGAGCGCTCTGCTCCCCTTTATGCAGTATTGTGCCCTCAACTTGGCTCTGGATCTGTGCCCGCTGGGGAGAGAAGCCCTGGCCCCTTTCACCAGCTCTCCTGCTGCTCCTTGGTCTGCCCCGAGCAGGGTCCAGACGGGTAGCCTCTGCAGAGAAATAGGCTCCTGCCCAGAGCTGCAGCCCTGCGACGGGTTGGCCCTGGGTCCCCAGTCCCTGCCACGTCTGGGGGCAGGGACCCTGAGTGAGTGTGAGGAGCTGGAGGATGATAAGGGCCAGGCTCCAGGAGCCCCAAGTGGGCTAGCGGAGGGGCAGCCTGGTGCTGGGGGGGCAGGGACCCACCCTGGCAGCTGGCTCGGAGCAGGGTGAGCACCAGGGGGCTCCGGCAGGGAGCAGAGTGAGGCTGCGGGGCTGGGGCAAGCTTGGGCGCTACTGGCACCAGCGCAGGTTCCCTGGCTACCCTGGATGAAGCCGTCTGGGGCATCAGGGGGGCATCTTTCTGCCACTCTGCGACGGCCGACGGGGCCAGAGAGCGGTCTTGGAACCAGACTGCCCCTTCTTATCCAGTCAGCACAGCCGCTCCCCTGCTGCCGAGGGTCGCAGCCTGGTGCCCCGCTGGTCAGCTCAGTGGGCTGACCTCGCCCATACCAGGCAGGACCGTAACCTCTCAGACGACCCCTCCTCCCCACCCGGCGCGCGGGAGGCCGCGGGGGGCGCGGTTGTTCATGCGTAAGACAATCAGTCCCTGCTTTAGTGCAGATCTTGGCAGCGTCCTGAGCAGTGACGGACCCGCTGGTGTGGTGAGCAGGACGCTCCGTGGGCTGTTGCCTGTTTGTTGGAGCGGGTGGGTGTGTGGCAGGGGGTTGGGTCTGCTGGATGGCCAGGCTGGAGTGGGTTTTCCACCCCCTGGACTCGAGACTAAGGTGTGATGTGGTCTGTGTGTGGAGGCAGTGGCCGGGCGCTGGCTCTGGCCCAGTGGGGTGAACTGGACAAGCACAGGCTGGGGAGTTTATCCAGGAGACGTCGGGGGAGGCGTCGGGGGCCCGGCAGCCTAGCAGGCAGGGGAAGAACAAGAGCTGGAGCAGTGCTCGCAATCGTTCCAGATGCCTGTGCCCCCCCTCACCAGGCTGGTTTGTCTCGCCTCCCCCACGTTTCACCTCACTTACAAACCACTTGCTTATAAAACCAGACATAAAAATCCAGGAGTGTCGCAGCCACACCGTTACTGACAAATTACCGACGTTCTCAGTGTCACCGCTGAGTTATAAACCATGTGGAACAGAACTCTGGTACTTCCGGGTCGGTCGATAGTGCACATACGGCAGTAGGAGCGAGTCACTGGCTGTAGGAAATTTGAGTTTGTGCTGACTTCGCTAGTCAGTTTTTATGGAGCCTATTGTAAGACCCGGGCAATATCTGAAGGAGTTCATGGACCCGCTGGTGACCCCAGGGTGCGCGGCACAGAGCGAGAGAACTCCAGACGGGAAATAAGGCACAGAGGTCTCACCCTGAGGGCAATTCAGCACTCGGGGCTTTACCTCCGGCCTGGCTGGCGCTGCCTCGCGCTTAGCTCAGGCTCGCCAGCAGGGCTAGGCTGGACCCAGGGCCACTGTGGGAGGCTCCCTGGCCTGGGCCTTGCAGGAGAGCAGGCGAGCCGGTCACAACTGCCCCTTACGGCCTTCAGATGTACAACTGCCCCCTGCTGAGGCTGAATTGGCAGCGACCCTGGAGGGTGAAAGGCTCCCTCCCGTCTCCTAGGCCACAGAGCCAGTGGGAGCCTGGCGCTGAGAGCGCCAGGGGGCAGGGGCCAACCACGAGACCTGGGAGAGCAGCAGCTGCCCCCTGGGGCAGGCTCCTCAGTTTTACTGGAGTGGCGGGGGGCCTGCTCTGGGCACTGCACCCCTCTCACTGGCCCGAGAGACGGACAGATGGACAGTGTCTCTGCCCACCACCAGCCCGGCCGCTGGTTCTTTGCAGGCCTCGTGGCAAAGGAGGAGGCATGTGAACGGGGGGCAGGGAGGGACCTGGAACCCTCCCCCCACGTGGGGGGCAGCCGGGGGGAGCACCGAAAGCCTGTTAGAAATGTAACGGGTGGGCAGTGGAGCCAGCCCCAGCGAGGGGCTAGGCCGGGTGGGGACGGCTGTGCCGGGCCGTGGCGGTGATGTCTGAGGCGTTGGCGAGGAGGGATCCTGATGCACTCAGAGTGCCGGGCTAGGACCGCAGTCTTCCAGCAGCACCCTGACTGCTCTGCTCTGCCGCCCCAGCCAGGCCTCCTGGGGGTTCCTGGTGTGAGGTTGGGGTCCTGCGTTTTCCCAAATCTTTTCCATTCCCAGGAGGAGAGTCGGGCGCGGGAGTGGTGCCTGAGCTGTGCCCGGCGGGGGGTCTTTGTGCATTTCCTGCTCTCGTGTCTGGGCTTGTAGCCTCCCGGCTCCAGGAGGGTTTGGGCCAGAGCCTGGCTGGACAGCATCGTCATCCCCTCCTTCCCCCCCCCCGACACCAGTTATTGGCAGGGCACGTTCGCTGGGGGAGCTGGGCTGCTCTGCTGACGGGAGCCATGTTAGCACAGAGACAGGGTCTGCTCCCGCTCCAGCCGTTCCAGCTCGGGGGTCTCTGGCGCCCGTCCAGGGCTCCCTTGGCTTTCACCTGCCTTGGGCAAGGCTGATGGCCAGGTGCCAGGCTTTGGGGCAGCTCAGGGTCCTGCCTCTCGCTGCTCGGCGGGCAAGGTGCGCAGCAGGGGTGAGTCTGGCGGGGAGCGGGGCCGGGGGCGTGCGCTGCAAGGCATCACAGTGCCAGCGGTGGAGGTGGTGCTGCAGCCCAGCTGCTCTCTGGCTAGAGGGACCCAACGCTTGGACCCTGCAGACCTTTCCAGTGTGCTGGGTTTGACGCCCCAGTGACGTGCTGCCTTCAGGCTCACTGTGTAAGTCCTGGGGCATGAACCCCAAAGGATGCGGGTGGCTCGGCTGCCCATTTGGGTGCAGAGTTAGGAGGCATTCCTAGACCGTCAGGTCCACTCCCGCTCACCTGCAGCGCTGGGATGCGAGCCCTGTTCTAACGGGGGAAGAGGAGCCGGCTGCTAGCAGCATCCTGCAAACAAGCCCTCACGGCATCTCTAAGCTAAAGCCTGCTGCTCAGGGCCGCCTGCTGGCCGGGCATGGCGACAAAATGCAGCTGTGCGCCAGGCCTGCGCTTGCCATTCTCTGAGCATCCCTGGGACTTTCCCCCTGCTCAGTCTCCTCTCCTAGCTCTGGCAGCACGGAGCGCCAGCCAGCCAGCCTGTGTCCTGAGTGGGGTCCCGTGAGCCCCTCCTGCTCTGGCTGTCGGGGTGAGTCAGCAAAGCAGGTCCACCCGGCTCCTGGCACTAGCCCATCATGTGGCAGAGGCAGTGAGGTGCAGGGGTAGGGAGCCCTGTGTTCTACCCTGGCTGACCTGCTGTGCGACCTGCTTC